TGGAACCTTGCTCTGTTGCACAAGTTGGAGTGCAGTGGTGCACTCTTGGCTTAGTGCAACCACTGCCACCTGGGTTGAAGCCATTCTCCTGCCTCAGCCTCTTGAGTAGCTGGGACTACAGGCACATGCCACCACGCCTGGCTAACTTTTGTATTTTTAGTAGAGATGGAGTTTCACCATGTTGGCCAGGCTGGTCTTGAACTCCTGACCTCAAGTGATCCCAACCACCTAGGCTTCGCAAAGTGCTGGGATTACAGGCACGAGCCACCACGCCCGGCCAGAATTCTGTAGGACTGGGGTCTTTTCTTGCTGACCTTTGGCTCTGAGTTGGGAGCTGCTCTCACCTAGGGGCTGCCTGCAGTTCCTTGTTACCTGGTTTATCTGTAGGCTTTCTTACAATATGGCAGCTTGCTTCTTTAAAGCCAGCAAGGGCTTTTCCAGTTTGCTAAGATGGCATCTTACATAGAACACAATCAGTCACAGGAGTGACATCTCATTACTTTTGCTATATTCTTTTGGTTAGAAGCAAGTCAAGTGTTGCCTACACTCAAGGGGAGGGGACTATATGGGGTGTAACATGGGGAATGCACAGAGATTATGGGGCCCATCTTAGAATTTTGCCTGCTATAGTACTCTACTAAGAACTTGAGATCTCTGATAATTGGCAGAGGATATTTTAAGTTTTATCTTCAAGGAGTACCCTTTGTTTTTTAGAACTAATAAAACAGTATTTTTATATTAATTACATTTCCTTTGTTTTCTTGTGAGGGTCTAGAAATCAGCCTATAAATTTATCCTGGGCTGTATTTTTCTGTGGGCTTTTTAGGGTGTGATGTGAGTACACAGTGTTTACACATACTTCACTGAAACCCTTTTTTCCTTGCAGCACTGTAAGGGGCTGTGGTAAAATAACAACATAAAGGAACTTAAGTTCTATTTTTTTTTTTTTTTTAAATTTTAAATAGAGGGTTTCACCATGTTGGCTAGGATGGTCTCAATCTCTTGACCTCATGATCCACCTGCCTCGGCCTCCCAAAGTGCTGGGATTACAGGCATGAGCCACCGTGCCCAGCCTAGGAACTTAAGTTCTTTTTTTTTTTCCCCCATTTATTTTATTGCATTTTAGGTTTTGGGGTACATGTGAAGAACATGCAAGATTGTTGCATAGGTACACACGTGGCAGTGTGATTTGCTGCCTTCCTCCCCATCACCTACGGAACTTAAGTTCTTAATTTTTGGTTTGATGTTACTTGACTCCCAAAGACTGACAGATTAGTTATGTATAGTGCCACAGAAGGTATAGGGAAACTGGCACTCAAGTTGCTGAGAAGTTTAACTGGTACCTTCAGTTCTGATGTGTGATTGGTAAAATACCAAAATTAAGAATTTACATTTGCTTTGATCTAGCAGTTCCTTTTCTAAGAATTTATCCTACAGAAATGTGCGCTCAAAAGCTGCACTGTTTAAGAAGAAAAAACCTAAATGGTCATCACTAGGATCAATTAGATATTAAGTCACTGATGCAATGGAATTTTATATAGTTCAATAGAAAAATTGGGCACATGTATTATGGACATGAAATGTTAAGTTTGAAAACTTCAGTTTTTTCAAGAGCATTTAAAGTTCCTTGTAAAAAAAAAAATAATAGATTTTTCTTTGTCCATAAATAAAATAGGACCTGGAAAGAATACATCTTAGAGAAGGCTTTGATTTTGGTAAAACAAAATAAAATGACAAGAAAAATAATTTTTAGTCAAATTCATTGTACTCAATTTGGAAATCCTGGTTCCTTTCTTAGGTACGTATTATCTAAGTTTTTTGTTGTTGAGACAGGGTCTCACTCTGTCACTCAGGCTGCAGCACAGTAGTACAGTCATGCTCACTGCAGCCTTGACTTCCTGGGCTCAAGGGATCCTTCGACCTTGGCCACCTGAGTAGCTGGGACTACAGTCATGTGCCACCACACCCAGCTAATTTTTTGTATTTCTTTTAGAGATGGGGCTTCACCATATTGCCCAGGCTGGCTTCTAGCTCCTGGACTCAAGCAGTCCACCCACCTCAGCCCCCAAAGTGCGGTGGTTACAGGCATGAGCCATCACACCCAGACTAAGTTTTTAAAAATTTTTGTATTGTTTTAAAGACGGGGGTTTTACCACATTGGTCAGCCTGGTCTCAAACTCCTGACCTCAGGTGATCCGCCCACCACAGCCTCCCAAGGTGCTGGGACTACAGGTGTGCGCCACCACACCTGGCTAATTTTTGTATTTTTAGTAGAGATGGGGTTTCACCATGATGGCCAGGCTGGTCTTGAACTCCTGACCTCAAGCCATCCACCCACCTCAGCTTACCAAAGTGCTGGAATCGAGCCACTTTACTTGGCTTGAGTTTTAATATAAACAAATTTCTTAATGCTTTGACTGTGGAAGTGGTCACATGACAGTAAAGGAATGCCTTAGAAATTGTTGTATCTACAATGAATGGATCATGGGGACATCACCAGAAACTTATGTATTCTAGGTTAATCCTTATAAAATTATCTTTGAAGTAGAGGAGCAATTTCTAAGTTTTTTTTTTTTTTTTTTTTTTTTTACAAAGTACGGCATAACTTGAATGAGACTAATGAGGACCAGTTTGTCATCTACAGGGTCTAGACATCTTAGTATCCTTTTTCTATTGAAGGGCTGGAGGGGCAGGGTACATCCAAGAACTCTAGAATCTGTTTTCCATATGTGATGTATAGGTTGAAAGCCACTCTGCCTTTTATATAAAGGAAAGTAGCAAAATTGTTTAACCAGAAGTCGGTAACTAGGTTAGGGACTAAGTATTATCTTTTCTTGTTTTTCATTAGGAACATGTGACAATAGTAGTGGTGGTGATGAGGGTGACTGGGTTCAGAAATGATAACAGGTGCAACAAGATTTTCAGGCTTGATTTTTCTAGTTTCTAGAAATGAGGTTTAGAAACAAGAGTACTGATCAAAATTTCCCTTAGTTATTACTATTAGTATGGTGTGGATCTAGAATGACACAGAAAGCTCATGACACGTTATCTTTTCTAATGGCAGCAAGAAAAAAAGAGTTAAGTTTAACAACATAGGGATTTAGCCTTGGGTAATCAGAAAAGGTGTAAAGCAAGGTAACTGGCATTTATAAATATCTGTGATCCTGAGGTCAAGAGATTGATATCATCCTGGCCAACATGGTAAAACCCCCGTCTCTACTAAAAAAATACAAAAATCAGCTGGGCATGGTGGTATGCGCCTATAGTCCCAGCTACTTGGGAGGCCGAGGCAGGAGAATTGCTTGAACCCGGGAGGCAGAGGTTGCAGTGAGCCGAGATTGCGCCACTGCACTCCAGCCTGGCACCTGGCGACAGAGGGAGACTCTGTCTCAAAAAAAAAAAAAGTATGATCCGATTTTGGGCTGGGCATGTGGCTTATGCCTGCACTTCAGCACTGGGAGGCCCAGGTGGGAGGATTGCTTGAGCCTAGGAATTTGAAAGCAGCCTGGGTAAGATGGCAAGACCCCATCTCTGCAAAAAAATATAAAAAATGTGCCAGGCGTGATGGTATATACCTTTGATCCCAACTACTGAAGAGGCTGAGGTGGGAGGATTGCTTGAACCCAGGAAGTTGAGGCTGCAGTGAGTTGTGTTCATACCACTGTACTCCAGCCTGGGCCACAGAGCAAGACCCTGCCTTTAAAAAAAAAAAAAAAAAAAGTCTGATTTTGGCAGAAGAAAGTTGGAAGTTTGATTTGGAGCTCATGGAAACTTTTTCAAGTTCATGATTAATCTTTTCCTATATTTTGGCTTTTTAGAACAGGGAGACTGGTTTTCACAGAGGTGTGGGTTGGGTTCAGTTTTCTTCAGAAGAAGAACTTCAGAATGCACTACAACAGGAAAATCATATTATAGATGGAGTAAAGGTAAATTTGTTTCTATACCAAATACATATATTATATACATGTAGATACTACTTATCAATTAAATAGATAATAAATGTGGAATGTTCAAGTTAGGGAAGCTGGGGCTGAAGTCTTGGCTTTCCCACTATGTGATCTTGGGCCAAACTGATTTACTATTTTACTTTTAAATTTATTTTTAATGAGACAGGCCATTGCTATGTTGCAGAGTGGTCTTGAACTTCTGGCTTTAAGCAGTCCTCTTGACCCACCACACCCTGCCTGATTTATAATTTTTAATTGAGGGGTAGGGAGTCGTAAGAGCAACAAAGATGGTAAAAGGAACTTGAAGAGAAAACAAAACAACAAGATACAAATAAACACTGCTTGAGTTGTTATTAATACTGACTCCCTAATTTAAAAAAAAAAGCAATTTTCAGTTTTTGTAGACACTGACTTTCCTTCCTTACAGTGTTTATTTTTTTTTTTTAGCTCCACGTTCAAGCTCAAAGGCCAAAAATTTTGCAAACACCTGATGAAGAGAAAGATTTTTGAGACTGCCAGCCTATTAAATAAAGTTAACGTAACTGAGAATTTTGTCTAAATGTTTTTATTTGAAACAAGTAAGTTGCATCAAGCAAGAGCTTACTTTGCCCACTCCAAATTAAAACAGAGCACAATAAGGGCAAAATTTATTTGGCAGGACAGTTCCAATATGTGAACATCCTCCTACTCACTGTGGTTGGGGTATCTTTACTCACAGGCAGCTGTTCTTACACAAAATATTAACCCCAAACTACTAGTGTCACACAAAAGGAAGTGGTCTTGATTTTGTATGTGGGGCAGCATGTTCTATAAATGCTGAAAGGTGGGAGAAGCACAAACACAACCCACTCTTTAAAAAAACTAAATAATTCAAAGTAGAATTTTCTATCCCCCCCCCAATTCTCCAGTAATAAAAAGTAGTGCTGGGACCTGGCACCCAGATTTGGTATTTATCCTGACCATTTACAAAGTGTTCCCCCTTTTGACTTGCATCATTAGGGTTATGGATAATAATAGTTCATTCACTTTGAAAGAGATCTGTGTCTACTCCTTCCTCCTCTTCTTGCCTTCATGCTCATGTTCCTTGGGGCGGCTGCTATCTGAAGGTCTTTTAGAGCCACCATGCTGTTTGGCTTCTTCCAAAAACTTGTCCAAACCAAAAGGATCTTCCTCAAACTGAACTGGTCCTTCTCGGCCTCTCTGCCTACGGTCTGAACCAGAAAACTCCTTGTCGGGAACAAATCTAGGGAAAAACAGAAAAGACTATGAACTACTTTGTTTTCACCAGTGTAAACACTGAAATTGAGTTGTATGGCGTGGTACCTGTTGGTCTTTATTCTGGCTTCTAGGTCATCACCATACATGTCCTTGTCCAGATTTTTACTGGGCCTATAAATACTCTGGGCCATATCTTTACCACCTCTCCAGGCTTGATCATAAACATTATAAATTTCATCTTCTCCACCTGCAAATCCACTGTCCATACCCTGTGGAAAAATGGATGACATTAAATAAAAATGTAAACAATGTTTATTAAAAGCTGAATCTGATAACATGCTTAGAGTAAGCCCTTGCTAATTTGTAGCTCACATTTTCAAAAATCTGAACTGCAAATTAAAAAAGTCTTCATTAAAAAACTGCTATAGCACAAACTTTTGTTCCTAACAACTTCGGATTCTTTTTTTTTTTTTCCTTCAGTCTTGCTTTGTCACCCAGGCTGGAGTACAGTGGTGCAATCTCAGCTCACTCCCGATTCCAGTGATTATCCCACTTCAGCCTCCCTGGTAGCTGGGATTAGAGGTACACGCCATCATATCCAGCTAAATTTTGTATTTTTTAGTACATTTTAGTAGAGCCAGGGTTTCACCATGTTGGCCAGGCCGGTCTTGAATTTCTGACTTTAGGTGATCCACCTGCCTTGGTCTCCCAAAGTGCTAGGATTACAGGTATAAGCCACCTCGCTGGCCCTCTGGTCTTAGCCAGAGGTGTAGACTAAATAAGGGAAACTCATTAAGTTTAGCTACCTTAAGTAGTCATTAAAATAGGGTATTGTCCAACTCGGTGGCTCATGCCTATAATCCCAGCACTTTGGGAGGCTGAGGCAGATGGATCACCAGAGGTTCGGAGTTCAAAACCAGCCTTGCTAACATGGTGAAATCCCTTCTCTACTGAAAACAAAAAAATTAGCCACACACAGTATCATGCGCCTGTAATTCCAGCTACTTGGGAGGCTGAGGCAGTTCAATCCTTTGAACTCGGGAGGCTGAAGTTGCAATAAGCTGAGATCACGTCACTGTACTCCGGCCTAGGCAACAGAGTAAGACTTTGTCTCAAAAAAAGAGGATAAGCAGGTACCTGATAGTTTCAATCTGTATAGATATGGTAGCAAGAAGATGAAAGAACCGTGAAACATGTTATATCCCTTAAGCACCTGAGAACATTGTTACTACAGTGTAAGACAATATATGGCTCTCCAAGAAAAGCTTAAGTCAACAAGAAACAACACATCTTTTTTTTTTTTTTTTTTTTTTTTTTTTTGAGACAGGGACTCCCTGTTGTCCAGGCTGGAGTGCAGTGGTTTGAGTGATATGATCATAGGTCACCAGAGCTGTGACCTCCCTGTGCTCAGGTGTTCTTCCCACCTCCGCCTCCCAAGTAGCTGGGAGTATAGGTGTTGCCACCATGCCCAGCCAATTTTTTGTAGACAGGGCTTTGCCATATTGCCAAGGCTGGTCTTGAACTAGGCTCAAGCAATCTGCCCACCTAGGCCTCACAAAGTGCTACGATTACAGGCGTGAGCCATAGTGCCCAGCCACAAAATTTTCATCACAATTTTTAAATGTTTTAAGCTTAAACTTCTAATAGGTGATTATCTTCAAAATATTTACGTATGTGAAATTTTACCCCTAGATCTCTTTTCTCAGCTGTTAATTTGCCATTGTATAGTAGTTAAGAAAGCTTTGATATCAAGAGATACCTAGTTTGAATTGTAGTTCCCTCAATCACAAGCTAAACCTGTGTTTCAATTTCCTCATCTATAACATGAGAGATAATGGTATGATTTTATAGGATTTTTGTAAGAATTAAGTGAGATAATAACAAAACACTTAGAACAATACCAACAATATAAACTACCTAATAATTGTCACTTAGAAGACCTTACTTAAAATCTCCAAGTCATAATAAGTTTTCCACTCTATTTCCCAGTAGAACTTAGACTTCTGTATTCTTACCTTTTGTGTGTGTGTGTGTGTGTGTGTGCGCGCGCGCGCGCGCATGCCTGTGTGTCTTCCCAGGCTTAAAATGTCCTAACTAGCTAATTGCAGTTGGCACTAGAAATCAGATTTTCTGACAGCCAGCCTAGTACTTTGATCCAGTTTTATAGTTTCATTTATAAAAGATTCCCAAGTTGATATATTTCTATGGCATTAAAAAAAAAATCCAAAGATCAACAACAAAATACCCAAGAGGCACTTCTGTAGGACAATGGCTCTATTTTATTTTTTTGAGATAGAGTCTCACTCAGTCACCCAGGCTGGAGTGCAGTGGCACAATCTTGGCTCACTGCAACGTCCACCTCCCCAGTTCAAGCAATTCTTGTGCCTCAGCCTCCCAAGTAGCTGGGATTATAGGCGTGCACCACCACACTTGGCTAATTTTCATATTTTTAGTAGACACAGGGTTTCACCATATTGGCCAGGCTGGTCTTGAACTCCTGACCTAAGGTGATCTGCCCGCCTTGGCCTCCCAATGTGTTCGGATTACAGGCATGAGCCACTGTGCCTGGCCTCCCTGGATCTATTTTCGAAACAAAAGACTGACATACCACAACACCAAGTTTTTAATCACTAATTTCTTTCTTCTCCTAGTGTCTCAAATCTCAACCCACTAAGAAGTTAAAATCTTGGGGTGGGGGTGGGGGAAATAAATTTTTTAAAAAAGTTAAAATCTCAGAACACAAGTATCCTGCCCCCCCCCCCCCCCCCCCAAAGTTAAAATCAACTGTTTCATCTTCTTGTCTCAAGTTTCAACATACAACTTCCATTTTTTTTTTTGTCGTCATGCTGGCATTTACATCCACATGTAAAAGTATGTTAATTTTTGTTTCCCTGAGGATATTCACATCAACACACATAATATGCTATTCTTAAACTTGTACCTTGGATTGGTTGAAGAGCCTTTGGTCATACTGAACTTCATTGGAAGTCCGAGGATTAGGAACACCGAGAGCAATGACCTCACTGATATCCCGATTTTCATTTCTCTGAAGTTTCGACCTATTTTGAAACACGACATCAGTAACTGAAAACTCTACAGACAAGTTGAATATGTTCAATTGAAATACAACCAATCTCAAGCAAAGGTCATGAATATGTCACATTCGTGTCTCGTGAACATATATTCCTTGATAATACATAATCAAGCTGGCAGGCCTTATAAAGCATTTCAGATTAGAGGGAGAGTTTTACAATTAGGACGTCCTGTTAGCTCAAAAGAACATCTAACAGACTTGTTGACATGGAATTCTTTAATATAAGCAATCACCTTACAGTATGAGATATAATGCTGAGGTATAAAATTGCTATGGTCTACATTTACTATCATTATATGATGGTTTGGGGGTTGGGAAGCAGATACAAATTAGATACAGCACAGGAGTCATTTTAAATAAGCTAGAATCAGCTCTTTTATTTAACCACATTTAGTAATTTTATCCCACTAGAATTTTGAGGAAAACATGTCAATGACTGAATTGGTTAGTATGATTTTTGACATTCAGATTAATTTGGTTTCCTGGCTGTTTTATTATGCATGCAGTCTACATCCCAATGAAACCATGGTAACTATCATATCTTATTTTACTAAAAACTCAGGTCAGAAAATGATTTCTATAGGCTATTTTATTTTCATGCAGTTACAATTTTATACCTTTTCTATGTTATCAATTCTGATAGCCACTTTACTGGTTTTGAGGGCCCAATTTAACTACAGAACTACTGTAATTTTTATTTTTTTATAAAGACGGGGTTTTACCATATTGGTCAGGCCGGTCTTAAACTCCTGACCTCAGGTGATCTGCCCGCCTCAGCCTCCCAAAGAGTTGGGATTACAGGTGTGAGCCGCCTGACTACTGTAATTTTTAATTTAGGAATTACCAAGACTGTCATTAATTAAACACTTTCACACTTGCTTCTCCTTCTACTGCATGTACTTTATCCTCAACTCTAAACTCAAGAGTAAGAGTCTCTGCTTCTCCATGACGTTATTTATCCAGGGAGATGAAATATGCCAATTAATACCCGCAGGAATCCTTTTCACGTTTATTTAATTTTAATTTTAATTTTTGAGACAGAGTCTTGCTCTGTCACCCAGGCTGGAATGCAGTGGCATGATCTTGGCTCACTGAAACCTCTACCTCCAGGGTTCAAGTGATTTTTCCATTTCAGCCTCCCAAGCAGCTGGGACTATAGGCACCTGCCACCACACTGGCTAATTTTTGTATTTTTAGTAAAGACAGGGTTTCACCATGTTGGCCAGGCTGGTCTCGA